GAGAGAGAGAGAGAGAGAGAGAGAGAGAGAGAGAGAGAGAGTTCTTCATCGGTGGAAAAGGAGCTCCACTCAAAAGAATGAAGCCCCGGTCATAAAGCTGCAGTTTATGTTAAAACTTGCAAAAAAAACAAAAACCACATGCAGTCTGATGCAGACCTGACCAGCTCTCCTGAAAAAAAAAAAAAAAAAAAAAATCACATGCAGTCTGATGCTTTTCTAGACTTCTCCTGAGGCAGCACCACCGCACACTGCTCATCGAAGCTCAGCACACGCTGATTGATGAAAACAGTTATATCGATCCCTACATCTGGGCCTCAGCCCCTTCCGTGCACAGATGGAATCGAACCGGCACCCCTGGCCACAAGAGCCAAGTCCCTTAACCACTACAGCCGACTTCGGCGATTTTTCACGTTCGGGATTATGGGCAAAACAATTCTCAGAAAGCTCAGGGGTGTAGAATCACTGTAGATTTAGTGCTAATCTTTTTCGCAAAAGTATTACAATATTAAAAAAAAAAAAAAACTCAGATGACAGAGAATTCTTTTTTTTTTTGGTGCCAACTTTTTGGCTTTTCTTCGCTCCAAAATTGCTAGCGACAGCCCCAAAACCTCCGTCTCCTCGCTGCTACCCGGTAGTCCGATTTTAGTATGTGCCGGGGCCGCTGGTGGCTTAACAAAGATTGTTATTCCTCGTGCACCGTCTTTACTTTTTTTTTTTTTTTTTTTTTTTTTTTTTTTTTTTTTTTTTTTTTTTTTTTTTTTTTTTTTTTTTTTTTTTACTATTTGTTCGTGAATTTGGTGTGGTCGTCTGAAAAATCATAAATGACAAAAGAAATGGGTAGAGGAGGTTACCACGTCCCATGCATCCTTGCCTGCTGCAGAGCAATATCCGCAATTGCGTCACGGATGAGCAGTTTGTCCTTCCATCGTCCATTTCCATGCGAGTGCTGAAGCTTCTTCAGAACATCGTCAACCTCTTCGCAAACCGCCTCTTGCTTTTGTGTTGTCATCAACGAAAAGCCAGGCTCCAACATCTTTGCATTCTCCTGTGGAGTCATATCATCATTCATTTTTTCAGATTCAGTACAACAGCAGCAAGCACTTTTCGGTTTCAGTCGTTTGATTTAGAAAGCAAGCGGAGCCGAACACACAAGCATAAGTCAGTCATGACAGCACTCCAGAGCCTCTTTCTCAATCCCGATGCCCGCTGCAACCCCAAAACACACTCCC